CGTCACAGCCGGTGTGGCCACCACAGATGCAGCTTCGGCGTCACAGCCGGTGTGGCCGCCACAGACGCAGCTTCGGCGTCACAGCCGGTGTGGCCACCACAGATGCAGCTTCGGCGTCACAGCCGGTGTGGCCACCACAGATGCAGCTTCGGCGTCACAGCCGGTGTGGCCACCACAGATGCAGCTTCGACGTCACAGCCGGTGTGGCCGCCACAGACGCAGCTTCAGCGTCACAGCCGGTGTGGCCGTCGTGACTGCTGTCAGTCGGTCGTCAGGGCGCAGCCAGTTCTTGAAAACGGTGTCACATGCATTACCTGCGCCTCGAGACCGAATCAAGTCTATATCGCGCATGGAATGAGATCCCACAAGCAGTGCCTTCGTGGCATTACGTAGCTGTGAATCAGGGCGAGGAGAATGCAAGGATCCATATACAACCGTGCAAATGAACCCTGAAAATCACCTTGCTCGGATAAATCAGAGGTAAATTGCTGCTGTTGCCAGGGCTTGGAGCTGCATCATTCTGTTAATATATTAGCAATGAAATTTTTAGATATGTTACCTGAATATGAGGACCTATCGTGAGAACAAGCTGTTTTCGAATCAGCAGTGATGGCGGAGTCCTAGAAAAAGAACACAAAATAGTGTTAGCCAAGGCGATCGCTTTTCTTTCTCACTGCTTCCTATCGCAATAGATGACCCCCGTATTTGCCTCCATTCCAGCTAGAAAAGACACGAAGCCAAATATTGTTTGAGGCTCTTGTTCAGGCTCAGCGTTGCATTTTGATATGACTGTTGCTCTGTGAGGTCCTGCTCCTCATTTATCTTGGGTGCCTGCCAGTCAGGACTGTAACTTTCCGACTCATAATGCCAGCAATAGGATGGGTCTGTGGAGGCACATTGCACATACCCGCGACAGAAAGGGGGCTGAACTCTCCACTACGGGTCAATTTAAGTTTGAAATGATCTGGACAACTACGCAGTGAGCAGTCTGAATCCAGCGCAGCAAAAGCAGAGACAGAATACTTCACAAACATGCATGGCATCCAACGCAATGTCGCTGGGTCTGCGAGCCAGTTGGCCCCCCATCCCGCGACTGTTTTGCATCCCATGACGTCACCTTACTCGGAGCGGCACGAGGCACAGGCGTGTTCGCCATCGAGGTACCGTTTTCGCTTTCGTTGGTTATTGAATTTTAAGGGCGCGTCAACCGTATTGGTTATTTGCGCTCATTTCCGCTTTCCGTTACCGATCAAGGCGCAGGTCACCAGACCGTTCTCCGACCGTTTGTAATCTGCCCTTCCAGCCTCCAAAAGCCTGCAAAGGGCGTTACATGGTTCACTTGCATCGATGTTCCGCTGGCGGACCCTTGGGAGTGCCACACCACACCAGCATCCTCTGCGTCTCAGATGTCGCCACAGAGCTGCGTTGCGTTGCGACGGTAGTAACGCATTTTATCTACACGCGTCACAATTTGAGCAAATCCATTGTCACAAGGACTTCCACCAGCCAATCGCTACTGAAAGGTCTGACCAGTGCCCGGACGTCTGAGACTGGCAGCATTACTTACCCGATGCGCGCACATGCCGGAGTTGCACGCCAGGTGGCTGAAACGCAGCGAACAGTCGGAACCGCACACGCAGGGCTGTCCCTCTTCAACACTTGGCGGCACTCGGAGTTGGTGCGGTTCGAGAAGCGGTCGGGACAGGCGCACACGCCGCCGCTGCAGACGGCGTGCTCGCTCGGTCGGCGCCCCAGGCGGTCGGTTTCGGCGTTGCGCACCCCCGAAAGGCGCGAATAGGGTCTGAACGTGGAACCCTGTCGTGACTGACAGCCAAACGCCAGATGGGGATCTGAAGGGCTGACCGGAGGGTGTACCAAGGAACACCGGCCCGCGGGGCTTGGCCCTGAAATGTCAGTCTGAAGGGCTGACCAGGGGGTGTACCAAGGAACACCGGCCCGCGGGGCTTGGCCCTGAAATGTCAGTCTGAAGGGCTGACCGGAGGGTGTACCAAGGAACACCGGCCCGCCGGGCTTGGGGCTGAAATGTCAGTCTGAAGGTCTCATGCATCGATCGGCGTCCCTTGGGCAGTGCAAGCCTCTACGTCAGCCAGAGACCACCAACACCGAACCGTCGGCTTGGCGTCTGCCTGGGCCCTAGGGGCCATTGCCCAAGCAGGAACAGGGCCCGGGTCGCGATTTACATTGATCGGATTTCCTGAAATAGTGAGAGGTCCCTGTGCTGGTCAGGGGCCCGCCGTACCCAACAAAGGGTTTGTACTGACAAGGGGTGCTTAGTCAGTCAGAGGCACGTTTACTCAACAGGGACAGAGACGGGACCCCAAATGTGCGAGAACTCTTGCTTTGGACGGGCCCATCTGCCAATGAAATGATATATGAGGACTTACGATGAAAGAGTCTACTGTGAAACAATAGAAGGGCCCTGTACCGGTTGGAGTCCAGTGCCGCATTGGGCCATGTGCTCCATCGCACCCAGGGGTTTCATAAGGCTAACTGCACTCCCTGTGCTAATTACTGGGCCACCGGCGCCGGCATGGAATGGTTTTGCGTTATTGAGGACGCTTGCCTTAGTGCCGTCTCATATTATTGGAAGATGGAGCAAGTGTGGTCACCAGGGCTTTTAGGCTGAGGAAGACACATTTAGCTAAGGTCAGCAAGGAGACAAATTTTAATCAAGTTGACAAACAGCGTGGGCAAAAAGGAGGGAACAAACTGCCTCAATGCATATAAGGAGGGACGTCTGTAAAGAAAGCGCATTGAAGAGGATCATAATGGTCGCAGCTGTAAAACTCAGGTTGGATTTGTGCCATGCTCTGGCCACCTGTAGGAGGGGGCCTCTATTCTGGTAACGTAAAGCACTGGTAAAATGACCGTTGGAGTAAACAGGATATAAATCTGGAAATGGAGGAATATGGAAGGACCAGGCCAAGGATTCCCGGCTGCCAAATGTGTCCACCTTATAGACCAATGAAACTTGCTTGGCCTTGACCACCTCGCTTTGAGATTCTCTTTAATCTTCACATCCTCGGGGCCAATTTTGATGTCCCGATGGCGCGACTTAACCAAACTCTGGAATTTCAGGCATTCTGCGGGCACCTTACGCGCGGCACCTTACGCCTTACGCTGCTAAAGCGTACTCGGGCACCGGTGCCATGAGATCTCGCAGCCTCTTGGAGGGCCGTGTAGTCTCCAGCAGAGGCCCAGGTGGCCTCCACGGTAGTTCCCCTCACGGCCCCCTTTGTGCATGCCAATGATGTCGTCTATGCCGTCAAAAACAATGCTTATCTAACGGCATGCGGCCATGAACGATGAGAACAGGGCTCCCAAATGTAGAGCAGATCTCGCATACAAACTGGGGTCCTTATGACCTACAACAGGTGTCCTGTTCTCCATCGATGAGATTTGGCCACATACTGAGCGAAATTTAGCTGCACGAAGGGAATAACGCAACTTACGGAACACTTGGACTCTTGGGTATCCTAGCTCTAAAAGGTGTCATCTGAAGTTTACCTATACAAATGTTTCAAATCGTCATTATGACAACAACATGTTCAGCATAATGGTATATGGATAAGGTGGCTTTGGTAGGGTTCCTGCACCTGTGCCCAATTACAAAATGGCCAAAGTTGCCAGCTGAAGTTTACCTATACAATTGTTTCAAATCGTCATAATAAATACAAGATGTCCAGCATAGTAATGTATGGACAAGATGGCTTTGGTGACGTTCCTGCACCTGTTCCCAGTGACAAAATGGCAAAAGCTTCAGCTTGAAGTTTTAAGACGACTTCCAAGCCCACCTAGGACCATTGCCAATTTCGGGGTTTTGGAACCTCTAGGATTCTCTGCCGTGCCGCTGGTGTGGACGGGCGTGTGTAATGGCGTAGGGCTGGTCGGACTAACGGATTACGCAGCAGAGCTGGTCAGGCTGACGGTTAACGCAGCAGAGCTGGTCAGACTGACGGGTAACCCAGCAGAGCTGGTCAGACTGACGGGTAACGCAGCAGAGCTGGTCAGACTGACGGGTAACGCAACAGAGCCGGTAAGGCTGGCGGGTAACGCAGCAGAGCTGGTAAGGCTGGCGGGTAACGCACAGTTGCCGAATTTCAGCATATTTGATACGGGCATGAACGGCGCTTTGTATGAGGAAGGAAGTTGGTGTAAAAAATATACACCGAACACTAGATGCACCTGCTATACATCATGAACGAAATTATCTGCACTTCTCTCGCCACAAATAATTTCAAAACGTTCAACAGGACATAAATGCCAAGACCGTGAAAGCATTATTAATGCATTTTTCTCATCAGGTCTATTGCCTGCTTCCGATCTACCAGAAGAAAACCAGGTCGCAGCCCCACTGAAAAAGCCCAATGATTGTAGGTACCGCAACCTGCATAACACGTCACATTACATATGCCCGTTCTCAATGCAGATATCTATTTTTAGTTGAAATCTGCAAAGAATGCCAGTTGGAATAAGCAACGCCATCTAGAGCTTCTAGTTGTGCATCTAGAGCTTGCTGGGACTTAGGTACCATGGGATCAGATTTTCTAGACCAACGCCTTGGGTCTGCTACCACTCGAAACCAACCTAGAAAACTTCCTTCATGCATCGATTCGGATCAGCTTTTTCTATTCCAAGCAGGAGGCAGCCAATGGCATTTTCATTGGCAGCCCAGACGCCGTCCGTTCTGTCCATTCCGATTCGCCACCGGTTACCGACAGCGTTGTAACGAAGCTGAAGCATGTGTTATTCAATGTCCCACCTACTTTGACCCGGAACCTTGTTATAAATCGTACCGTATGTCGCACACCTTTTGGACAGCGCCACCTACCCGCTTCAGGATCAGCTGGTGCCGGCGGGCATGCCAACGCCATCTATCGTCGGAAGACCGAAGGACGCGAGAACACGTCGGCGCGGCTGGTGGCGCCAACCGGCGGGCAGGTGTGGAATCACGAAGGTCAAGTAGCACGGAGCATGGCCGGCGGCAGCGCCGCAAACGGGACCAGAAGACGCGGCGCACGGGCGCCTCCGCTGCAGCCGAGTCTAAAACCAGCGGAATTCGTGGCACGTGGCGCTCAAAGAACCAACTCTTGCCTGACAGGTGGTGCGTCTACACCAACGGCGTGCGAATCTGCTTCGATGGCAGTGTGGCGATCGTGCGGTCAGTGAAGAGGTGTTTGTGAAAGTCAGCCAGTGCTGGTCGGGGCGACGGCTCGGCGCCGCAGCGATGGCCTTCCTTTGCCCAGTGCGCATCCGACGAAACAAGAAAAAGAAATGTAAGTATCGCTGGCTCCATTGCTCAAAGATAACGCGGGCTGGGCCGTGGGAAATTCAGATGTCAGCTGGGAGATCCGGGGGAGAGGGAGCCCACCGGCCGAACAGCGCAGCTAATGAGCGGGTGGGCACCTCCGTCATAGTGTTCAACATTTAAGGGCATGCCATGAGTCAGCAGGTCATACTTTCAAACTCCGCAGCGACGGATGGCAGTGAAGATTTATCAACACTGTTGAGTGGGGTAGTGTACGCCAATACATCTGGTGCTACTGTCTTGTTCTGGCTATTCACCTGTTCATCAGTGCAGTCTCCAGTTCTTTCACGCTTGAGAACAAAATGCAGTGATGAAAGTGAAGCACATTTAAGCTAAAATGTGAGCTGTTTACGTGGCGGGAAATGGAAGGCAACGTCTAAAGCTGTTTTCGAACTGGTCTGTGGTTTTAACTATTTTGGCGGGTAGCCAGCTGGTTACTTGGCTACCTTGGATGAGCCAGATGTCATTCCCATTCATTGTTTTGCGATCTATGCATCACGGGATAACGGCACTGTATCATTATACTTTTCCACGTCCCTTAGCCCCGATAAAGCAGGTTAGAATATGTAGTCAGCGTCACTGGTGAGAAAACACTGTTTTCAATGGCTGAGAAGTCGGACGTGTTATCAGCAGCTTGATAGATCTCATAAACAGACAAGTATTTCCGGTAAGAATATACGAGTCTGCTGCAACAATGCATGCAAATTACATGGTTCGTGATTAGTTGCTAAGCAATCGCAAACAACATAGCTCATCGGATTATAATCGCACTGTCGTGACCGCTTGCCATGGGACCAAGTGGTCCCGACATTCATAAGCGAACTTGCAATCCTTGCATGTGCCCAGCTGGTGTTGGATGGCAAACCTATGGAGTCCCACGGAATTTAGTCGAATCAGCGGTATAGTCTCATCTAATACGTGACACCCAGCCGACTATGAGGGATCGCTTCGTCCCAGCAAGGCCTGTGACTCGGCATATGTTGTCTACGAACCGCGGCGGCATGTGAGAGTGTAACCTGTGACCTTCTCCAGCCAGTGCTGTCACGGTGCCAGAGCGATTATGACCTCCGACCTCCGACTGTGACCTCCGCACTTAGTTCACGATGGCGCAGTGAGGGAGCGCGATAGTTGGTACCTCTGGGGCTCACTTGTGACTCCTGCACTTGCTTAACGATATTACGGAATTAATGCAATTAGAAATTTTATTTCCGCGGTTTCATGCATGTCGCAATGTCAGTCACCTGTTGCCACGTCATGGTGTCCATGCCACGTCATGGTCAGTCGCCTCACAGGTCTCCCATCAGCCAGCACTGACACTAGTGGCGATGAACCACATGTGTGAATCGCGTGCGTCATCTGTACGCACCCGTTCTTAACACTCACCCTGTTTCACCATTTTTCATAACGCAAACGGATGGGGGGCTCTGTACGATCTCTCACCCACGCCATTCCTAAACCAAAAATGATGGGGCCTCGTGGAAAAAGTTGTAGATATGTCATAGCAAGTTTTAGCCTTTAATTATAAGTTTTGTGTCACTGGTCAATAACTGCCCCTCACACTCCGCTAAGTGACAGGTGATTGTTACCGAAAGTTGGTTTTTAAGCATTACACGCAGGACATGTCTACAAACCCAACCAACCATACAAGCAGCCAGTCATGTAACGCAACAATATTACTTACAAATTTGGTGTTTTCTGTTGTTTTATTTAAAGGACGTGTGCATCGGTGTGTTTTATGTAAATATTGATGATGCATGTTTTTTTTTCAAATCTAACCGTGTCGTCCCGGCCGCCCGCGGTAGGCAGATGCTTCGGTTGCCGCCGACCGCCCACCTTGGCTGTAAGTTGCCGTGCAACGTTCATAACGCGTTGCCCCCCCCCCCCTCAGCTGAGGGCTGAGGACGGCTCGGTGTCGGCTTCATCTGCCGCCTGTGGCTGGCTGTCTGAGTAACTCGGCTCCTCCGCGCCCCAGCCAACGATGACCCGCCGCCTGTGACTGGCTGTCTGAGTAACCCGGCTCCTCGGCGCCCCAGCCAACGATGACCTGCCGCCTGTGACTGGCTGTCTGAGTAACCCGGCTCCTCCGCACCCCAGCCAACGATGACACGGCGTCGGTGCGGTCGCCCGGCATGGGCCGCATCACGGGCTCCTCCAGCATCGAGACACTGGTGCGTGTCGGCATTGAGAAGGAGAACGGCCTCTCACCCGACAGCAAGATGGTGGTGCTGCACGACTTCACGCCCTGCGTGGACGACGAGCTGGAGGTCAAGCGAGGCACAGTGAGTGGCGCCGGCGGAACGGCTCGGGCAGCCGCGGCGGTCGAGGTCGGCTTGGGCGCCGCCGGACGGGCGGACCCCGGGCAGCAGGGGGGGGGGGGGGAGGTGGCTGCCCTGCCTGGCTGCCCTGCCTGTCCTGCGCCGGCCTGGTGACCAGCGCGCCGCCGCCGGCGCGTAACAGGCGCGCTTGGCCCGGCTGCAGCGCGGAGAGCTCCCATCTGTTCGACAGACCGCTGCCAGCTGGGGAGGGTAGGTGGGCCAGCGGTGGGGTGACCCCACTTTACGTTGACACCGGGAAAAACTTGATTCATTTGTTCTGCTGGGCTGAAATAGCAGGAATATTTTCGTTTGTTTGATAGAGATTGTGCTATTCGTGTGGTTGACTTCAAGCAGTGATGTGCGCCATAAACAGCTTTACGCGTCCTTTGAGCCGCCCTTTAATAAATTTTTGCAGAGCCTTATAAACATTTCCTTAAAGGAACCGGCACTAGCCGTACAATGAGGGTTGAAGGGCCCGAGCGTTGGGCAATTTTACAAAACTTCATGCCGCCGTTCTTATGGGCTGAAGCGGTGGAGGAATCACATTTATATTGTAGAGAGTGCGTCAAAAGTAAGGTTGAACCTGAGAAATCGTGTATGCAAGAAAACGCTCTCTGCGTCCATTGAGCATCCTTTTGAAAATGCTCACAGTACATTTTAAACATACCGACATACTTTCAAAAGATAAAGTGCTGGCCAACAATATCATTGAATGAGTCTTTGCCTCGTGAGTTCGTAACTGGAATGCCATTCGCTAACCTCTTTTGCATACCGCATTCCAGTGCTTCTCAATGAGAAGCTGTAGGTGGTGTGGGGATGCGTGCTCACATGTTTTGCACCAGGACATGCTTTCACATTCCGGTTCAAACCAGACATGCTAGAATGCCACTTAGCATCATAATCTTTCACGCTGACCATCGCGGAGATGGAAAACTCACGGCTGTATCCAGAGTCGAACCCACGTCGTCTGGCACACTGTCGTCGGCAAGCAACTGAGCTGAACCGTCCAGTGGTGGCATCTCAGTCGCCTGTATCAATCCTGGCCTGGAGTCCTGAGGAAAGCGCGACAAATTTTCACGCACGGTGCAAGGAGAGCAGTGCACATGCAGTGACAAAGACCTGCTAGGTGTTCAGAGACCCGTGCGTCATCTGAAAACGGCTTTCTGCTTAACCAAACCATACTTGTCAAAGACTCTACCCTAGCATGTCCAGATTTTCCGCAGCGAATCCATTTATCTCATTCGTACGTTGTCTGCGTTTTGCATTAGCCATCTGTTGCTTGTATTAAATCTGTTTTATAGAGAGAGAGGAAGAAGGGGATACATTACGCATGGTACAGTACGCAATATAACATTTGGAGTCTGCCAAGTTATCGTCTCGCCATGAGGCTTTAAACGTCCGTAATAATAAAGGATAGTATCGAATTCCAACGCATTCCTTGGCACTGATAAGAGCGTCTGAATTTGGTTGCTGCCATGTTTGGTAAATAGGTCGCGTTTGCGTATCCTGCTATCTGAAACTTTGGTGGACACTCAAACAGGTCACGAGCAGCCATTGCCTCAGAGTCGTTGCTTCAGATGTTTAATGAAGGACAGTATTGTGCACAAAACCTCAGCTTTTCTCCCAAGTGGATAGTTCAGAGTGAACTACAGAAAATTTGAATCCTAGTAATTATATTTGTGGGGAGGGCTGTTACGCAGAACAAATGTACATGATACGGTGGGAGGCGATGAGGGGTCTGCTCGTTGTAACAGCTGTCGAACCATATGATGCACGGTAATTTCTTCACAACATCAGACACGTCGGCGGTGTGCCTGAGCCAGCGAAGCCAGCTGGGGCGTGAACCGGCGATCTTGTGATCTCATTACCACGGCCCCAATCACAATGCCACTCTATCGCTGGAGGATGAGGTCGTAAAGGATATGCCTGCCTTGCGCTGGAAGCCGTGGCAGCCTGTTGCAGAAACATACAAGCCAACTAACGTGCTCATGGATTAAGAAAGCAGATCAAACCTTCCTGACTTGAGCCAATACATGCGGTGTTGAAGCGTGGCCCGTCAGTTCAGTCTTCAGTGCTGGACTTTTGACGTGGAAGTCCTGCCATTTGGCGCAAGTGTAGCGCCTGGAGGGCACAGCTGGGTGGCACAGTATGCCCTAGATTGCCTTAATCTGACGTGCTCACACTGGAGGGCCCAGCTGGATGGCACAGCGTGCCCGAGATTGCCTGTAATCTGACGTGCTCACACTGAAGGGCCCAGCTGGATGGCACAGCGTGCCCGAGATTGCCTGTAATCTGACGTGCTCACACTGGAGGGCCCACCTGGATGGCACAGCGTGCCCGAGATTGCCTGTAATCTGACACCGGTCCGCTCACACCGTTTTGACGCCTGACGTTTAACTTAGCTTGATTAAAATGTAGTACTGTATTATCGATAAACTTGCACCTTGTAGACCTGATGTTGCATTGAAGACTGCGGTGACTTGACTTGAGTTGTAGACTTGATGGCGTTTCTTCGAAAATAACGCTATTTTAGAAGCTTTGCTGGTGTGAGAGGTGTTTGCTATTCACCAGCGAAACAGCGAGGTGAAATATTCCCTTTTGGACGATGATGTTTGAAATAACGTCGGTTTTCAAACGGCTGTTTCGGGCATTCATAGGATAAATGTTGCGTGTTGAGGTTTTGTTACTTAATGCCATTCTCTGGCAGTGGGCTACGGTGGGACTTGCGCAAACATAGTGTATCAGCGCGCCTGGTTGGACAAATAACCACTCGAGTACAGAAACTGGGACGGCATCTGATTTGTATGGGAGCGTACACGCTAATGAAGATAATACATGAGAATGGAAAGGAGGACATAATCGGAAACGCCCAGATGTGGGTCGTGATTAGTTGTGGTGACGACCACTGTTGTAAACTGTGGTCAGCTGCGATGACGGCCACTGTTATGGACCACTATCCGTTGGTCTGACATTCGCAGTGCTGTGGACAGTCGTAACTGCCGAATTTGGAGGCCCTGATCAGCTAGGTGGTCACAGCCTTATCGTGAACGGCTGCTGTCCTGTGCTGGTGTCTCGCCTGCCGACAGTTGGCGGATCTTTTTGTCTGCTCGGCGCTCGCCGCTCAGCCTTTTTCGAGTGGCTAACGATGCAGCCTGCGGTAGGGCACCCGGCCACTCCTAACAGCCTCCCAGCTCGGCGCTGCGGCACCCGGCTACCCCTCACAGCCCTCTCAGGCCTGCGCTAGGGTACCCGGCCACTCCTAACAGCCTATCAGGCCGACGCTAGGGCACCCGGCTACCCCTCACAGCTCGCTCAGGCCTTCGGTAGGGTACCCGGCTCCCCTCACAGCTCGCTCAGGCCTGCGGTAGGGTACCCGGCTACCCTCACAGCTCGCTCAGGCCGGCGCTGGGGCACCCGGCTGCCCCTCACAGCTCTCTCAGGCCGGCGCTGGGGCACCCGGCTACCCCTCACAGCTCGCTCAGGCCTGCGGTAGGGTACCCGGCCACTCCTAACAACCTCTCAGGCCGGCGCTGGGGCACCCGGCTACCCCTCACAGCTCTCTCAGGCCTGTGGTAAGGTATCCGGCCACTCCTAACAGCCTCTCAGGCCGGCGCTGGGGCACCGGGCTACCCCTCACAGCTCTCCCAGGCCCGCGGTAGGGCACCCGGCTACCCCTCACAGCTCGCTCAGGCCTGTGGTATGGCACCCGGCTACCCCTCACAGCTCGCTCAGGCCTGCGGTATGGTACCAGGGCCTCAGGCCGGCGCTAGGGCACACGGCTACCCCTCACAGCTCGCTCAGACTAGCATCAGGGCACTGGGCTACCCTTCACAGCTCTCTCAGATCAGCATCAGGGCACCCCGCCACCCTCACAACTTTCTCAGGCCAGTGTTAGGACATCCGGCCGTTCCTCACAGCTCTCTCAGGCCAGCACCAGGACACCCGGCCACCCTCACAGCTCTCTCAGGCCAGCACCAGGACACCCAGCCGCTCATCACAGCTCTCTCAGACATCCCCCGACCGATGTCGCGTCTGTTCAAGTGGCGACGAGCTCCTCCCGCGACCTGGCGGCCGCCGCCGGCGCCGGCGCGCGCCACCGGCGACCGCCTGCCGCGGGTGTGGTTGGCTGAGCCATTTCCGGCGCCGCCCGGCTGTCTTGCGACGTTCCCGCAGCGCACACTGAGCGCTGCCTCGCCGCTGGACAGCGAGACTGGTCGCGCCGCGGGACGTCGTCCATCCCGAGCGGCTCTCTCCCTCTCTCCGGGACGGCCGCGTCTGCTCGGCGCGCGCCAGCAACTCTGCCGCACTCGGGCGGAGCGCCGCGACCGCGCTTGCTCTCCAGGCGACGCTAGACCGGACGCTAGAAACCTCGCCACTCGCCGTCTTTGTGCGTCGGCTTGTTTTATTTGTCAAATCACCGTTCGCCACTGTGACATATTGTCCATCCCACCGCTGCGCTCGTCCCGTCGCTTCTCGGTCCCTCATCCATCTAACTAACACGAGTTAACGGTAGAGATCAAGCAGCCGACAAGAGCGGACTCTGTCGTCCATATGTTGTCCGGTTGCCCGGGCATGGTCCCCGGCGCCGCCGCGCTGGTCCGGCGCTGGCCCGACCGGCGGCCGCCCGCCAGCTCCTGTACCGCACGTCCGATGCGACGGTGGTGGGGCACGTGACGTCACACGCCTCCGGGGCTGACCCAACCTGGCCATGTTACGCCAATCGGCCCCACGCCGGACGTCACGTGCAAAAAACGGCTCGACTTCCCGCTGATCCGTCCCAGCCTGTCCTCGGCGGAACGTTTGAGCCGCGGCGCCTGTGACAGCTACAATCAATGAATGATATTCGGAGTCATGGCTGCGGCCATTACCTGCCCGTACGGCATAATGAGATGTTTCTCAAAGTGATTTGGATGGATTGGTGGTTGGAGCGGGCGAGATTTGCACACCCGCCGGCGGCCGCGGCA